GGTATGGCGTTGAACGGACTCCTGCAATGTTAAGTATATAATTATCATCATCATTCTCATCAATGTCTAATTGAGCCGGCCCATTGGTGCTGAAGCAATATTTTTTTATGGAATAGGAGGCAAACGAGCAGACGTATCACCTGATGGTAAGCGATCAGCGCCGCCCATGGACACTCTCAACAGCAGAGGAGCCACAGGTGCATTGCCGGCCTTTTAACAAGGAATACGCTCTTTTCTTGAAGGTTTTAAGGTCGTGTCGGTTCGGAAATACCGCCGACGACTGATCATTCCATAGTTACTATATAATACACTTATGTCGGAATACTCAACCGCTACTCAATTTTAAGTCGCGCTTTTAAGTATAGTTCTGTCTCTACAAATTCTTTGTAAAAAGACAGAGATATCACGGTATTAAAGCACGACTTAATATCGTGATATCTCTGATATATATAAATTGAGTAACGTTTCAGTATTCCGGCATTAAACAGCTTATTTTTCTCCTAAACTCAAACTCAAAAGCATTTATTTCAATTAAACCACAATTTGGTACTTTTGAAACATCAGTAAATAAAAAATGAATAATAGTCTGTCAGCCTGTCCGTCAGTGAAGCTAGGCGCAATATACTAGGTGGATAATATACTTACTATACACAATATACTAGGTGTACAATATACTATACGCCTAGGACATGGGCAGCAGTAAAAGAACATGTACTGATAGATGATGAAATTAGCTTTTTCTTTAAGAATACTTCTTTCCTTTCTACAAGTAATTCATACTTACGGTGGGTACTATCAGAGTCGGATTAAACCCAGAGAGCGCCCTAGGCAAGCACTTTATTGGCGCCCCTAATTTATTTTGTCGCCTCCGTCACTCTATGTGTCGTTATGCACCGGCGCCCCTCTGTAACCTGGCGCCCGGCACTTGTCTTGGGATAATACAGCTCTGGGTACCATGTATTACTTACGTGAAGATTGCAGAGGTTTAGTTACAAGTTGAGGTCCAAATTCGTAAAGAATTTGAAAGTCCGCATGATTGCCGAGACGGAAGCCGAAACCGAAACGGTGGTCGTTGCCTAGAATGGTAATAAAATATGAAATCATTCTTCCTCGTTCTTCTACATAGGAATCTATACTTTGGGACGAGTAAACAGTTTCACTAGAGGACTACCGATAAGTATACCACCGACCGATAGACTAAAGGTACATCTAATAAGCCCGCCTCCAACTCCAATTAACTCGTCATTTAAATATGAACTTTAAATCGTATGTCGTTTGATATATGTCATAACGTCAATACAAAACCCGACGACGGGCGGTCAGCGCCCGCGGTCCACTCGAGGTGTAGTCGAGGCGCCCGCGAGGTGACGGCAGGGCGGCAGCGCGCCTCCGCGGCCTACCAGGCGCCAGCAAAACAAAGCCTCATAGTAGGCGTTATCGACTACACTTGTGTCGACCGCGCGCTTCCCCCGAATTTGAAGCGTGCGGTGTCCGCCGTGCCGGAGCCGTACTTTTTAGATGAGCGTTGAGCTCTCGTTGGCGGCGCGCCGTCGTCGCGCAGTCGGCACAGCAGCTGTAGCCAAAGCCATTTAGTGCTTGTCTACATGTAGAATAGAAAACCAAATTATATGGGATTGACGTAAATTTTGACACATATTTAGTTTTCTACTCTCTTTGTAGACAAGAGCTAAAGTGGCGTTTGGCTAAAGGCACTGGTGTACCTACTCAAAAATACCTACCTACGATGCGACGCTGTTTCGCTGGCGCCCGGCGGGCTGCTCGCCGTCAACTCGCCGACGCCGCGCCGTACGCACAACGCACACAGGCGCCTCGACCACACCTCGAGTGGACGGCGTGCTGACCGCACACCGTCGGCTTTTTGTATTGACGTTTGAAGTTATAATACGACATACGATTTAATGTTCATATTTAAATAGCATCTTTATTGCTGGGTTGAAGGCGTGCTTATTAGATCTTCGATGACCTTAACGATTTAATTATAACTTTAAAAATTCTTTTAAAATTGTTTAATATTTTTTTATAACAACTATCGTGAGACATACCAAATTAACTAAAAATACGAGTTACTCACGTGAATATACCGAGAAAACCTTTACTAGTTTTGAACCACAGAGGGGTAGTTAGGTTTCAAACTAGTAGAGCTTTTCTCAGTATATTCACGTGAGTAACCCGCGATTTTAGTTAATTTATAATAATAATAATACGTTTATTTATTAGAATATTATTACAAAGGTGTTACAAATAAATTAATGTTCTGAATATTCTGCTGTTTCCAGCGTACAAATATTAAAAGTTAAAATTAAAATAAGACAGGTAAAAACATACAATCAAAAATAAAAAATTGCATAATATGGACGATTAGTTATCACAATGTAGTAAAATTATTTTCGGTACAAAAATTTGTTTAATATTGTCACGATCAAAGGTGACCATTAGCTGTTGTTGTGTTTAACTTATCTTACCTTTATGTAGGGGTGGCGCAAATCCATAAATAGCTGCTAAACCCGCTGGAACATCTTCTGGTATCACCACCAGCACTATTGTAGCGATTGGAAGACCTGGATGACACATAATATCAAGGCTTTTAATCCCCAAAAGCGCGAGGAAGAGATCTATCTATAATAAAGTAATCTTGACTTATTTTGTCTTGTGCAGTGTGATTTTTTTTTTTTTTTGTGGTAGGAAAATCATCCTATGACTTCTCATGTGAGGCGGGAGGGAGTGTCAGACTCTTACTGACTAAAATCCACCCCGTTATTACTCCTGCTCTTCGAGCCGGAGCCTCTGCAACCCGTTTAGCCTTCCGCGACTCCACATCGGGCGTTAGCCCCATCCGTATTGAGGCGCGCGCGGTACGGTACGCACCGTAGTCTATCGTGTGATTAGTATGGCTATTTGCCTATCAAATTATAGGCTACATTCTATTATGTAGGTAAATACTCAGAATTGTTAAAATCAATATTCCCCACCCAGGTATCGAACTCGAGACTCTTTTCTCGGTAGTTGTAATAGTAAAAAATCCTAACAAAAATGGTTTTTCCACAAACACTGGACTGACCAGAATTGTAGTTATGATAAAGTAGGTACAGATTTTGTAAATATTTCTCCGGAGTAGGAATTGAACCACTTACACACATTTGAGACAGAGCAATTAACGACTATTCTATTCTTTCACTAATAATTTAACTAAAATAATAAATGAAAATCTACATTACAATAATTATGTAAACTAAATACTTACATTTGATAACCACGAAGAAAAATACAAAACACAAATTAATATACATGTCCACAATACAATATATTTAACCAATAACTTCACTCGAACAGTGTTGAAGTATTAATGCTAAGAACAATACCTTTTATGACTAAATTATCATTTACTTATACAGCCACTAAAACCTACGTATTGTCTTTAAATTCCCACAGCAATCAGTAATTATTAAATCTATTGGCTAAGTGTACATACATTTTAACAAGAAAATAGCATTAGCTTCGTTGTATGTATGTAAGACGTATGTAGGTATTCAATCAAGCTACACACGCCTTTGTGCCATCACACACATCAACAGCCTATAAATGCCCACTGCTGAGCAAAGCCTCTTCTCACACGGAGAAGGTTTGAGCATAAATCACCACGCTTGCTCAATGCGGGTTGGCGATTACAAACTTATAATTAGAAATTATAAGCCAGGTTTCCTCACGATGTTTTCCATCACCGTTTGTCAGTGGTGTCTGAATAATCTTAAAAGTACATAAAACTCGGCAAAAGTCAAATTGGTACTTGCCGTTGGAAGGTTTCGAACCCACACTCTCATGCATGAGAAGCGGGCGTCTCAAACCTCCGGGCCACCACGACACCTTTATCCCATGGTATACAGAAACTACAGAGCGCCACCTACTACGCTCCTTACATACTTCTGTAGCTTCCATCACATTCATACATCTGATGGTATACAGAAACTACAGAGCGCCACCTACTACGCTTCTTACATACTTCTTTGGCTTCCATCACATTCATACATCTGATGGTATACAGAAACTACAGAGCGCCACCTACTACGCTCCTTACATACTTCTGTAGCTTCCATCACATTCATACATCTGATGGTATACAGAAACTACAGAGCGCCACCTACTACGCTCCTTACATACTTCTGTAGCTTCCATCACATTCATACATCTGATGGTATACAGAAACTACAGAGCGCCACCTACTACGCTCCTTACATACTTCTTTAGCTGCCTTCACATTCATACATCTGATGGTATACAGAAACTACAGAGCGCCACCTACTACGCTTCTTACATACTTCTTTAGCTTCCATCACATTCATACATCTGATGGTATACAGAAACTACAGAGCGCCACCACCTACTACGCTCCTTACATACTTCTGTAGCTTCCATCACATTCATACATCTGATGGTATACAGAAACTACAGAGCGCCACCTACTACGCTTCTTACATACTTCTTTAGCTTCCATCACATTCATACATCTGATGGTATACAGAAACTACAGAGCGCCACCTACTACGCTCCTTACATACTTCTGTAGCTTCCATCACATTCATACATCTGATGGTATACAGAAACTACAGAGCGCCACCTACTACGCTTCTTACATACTTCTTTAGCTTCCATCACATTCATACATCTGATGGTATACAGAAACTACAGAGCGCCACCTACTACGCTCCTTACATACTTCTTTAGCTTCCATCACATTCATACATCTGATGGTATACAGAAACTACAGAGCGCCACCTACTACGCTCCTTACATACTTCTTTAGCTGCCATCACATTCATACATCTGATGGTATACAGAAACTACAGAGCGCCACCTACTACGCTCCTTACATACTTCTTTAGCTTCCATCACATTCATACATCTGATGGTATACAGAAACTACAGAGCGCCACCTACTACGCTTCTTACATACTTCTTAATCATATAAAATAAAACAAAAATGCTACAGAAAGCCCCATTTATTACATAACTACTTAAATACAAAAATATACAAAAAAGACTCAATCAAGATCCACATTGGACAAGTCTTCTGTTATCTTTTTAACTTCCTCCTCGCTTCGTTTTGTGCCACCCATCTTTTTCGCGGCCTCGCTTTTAAGCTTGTACAGCTTCTTTAGATCTTCTAGAATGTTCTGTGGCAAGTTCCCAGGCTTCGGTTGATGTATTTCATATTCTCCCTTCTCATTCTTAATGAGTTCCACCATGGAGTCTTCTAAGTTGGGCACATCGCCGGGTTTCTGAACATTTTGAGTTTGCTTTTGGGGGTACTTCATCTTCTGCGCCCAATTTTGGAGGTATTTGCTCGCGTCTGAGTGGTACTGGAAAAACAAATTACATGTTAGTAAAATGCACAGTCTGATTTTTTAAACCGTTGTCTACAACCTGCGTACCAATAGGGTAGTTGCCTAAATTTTATTTTAATGTCCGTCTGGTAGATTAATTTTAAAACTTTAGATACATATTTTTTCTTTTCTCACAAAATTAAATACTTTCGACGATATAATAATTTGAAATATCGTGTGACGTCACAGCGTGCCACATTTTGTAGCACTTAGTGACGTAACGATCCCAGTCCTAAACTTAACTGCATTTTATCTAAGTATTGTAACTTTATATGAGAAAATAAAAAAATACGTGTCTAATATTTTTTCATTATCTAACTGACAGACTAATTAGATTTTTAATCTTGATACCCTGGCGACACCCTATTGTGGAGATCATGGTTAATGAAGGAGGAACATGATTCAGCAGTGAAAGTACTGTTACGGGCTAATTTTGATGATCAGTTGATGATTTTTGTTAAAACACTGTTATTTAAATTATAACTTTCGTGAGACATACTAAATTGACTTGACGCGGTGGCAGGGCAACTGGCTGACGCGCAACGTGTCGCGGGTTCGTTTCCGTTCAGTGCGAGACGGAACAACTCTTTGTGTGATCCACAAATTGTTGTTCCGGGTCTGTGTGTCATGTGTATGTGAACTTGTATGTTTGTAAATGCACACACGACACAGGAGACAATCCTAGTGTAGGGCATCGTTTAACTCTTTGAGTACCGTCATTATAGACACAATTAAAGAACAATAGGTTGCGGTCACCGGTGTCCTCGCGGTGTTTGGCAGTTTAAAAAAAGAAATTATTATATTTTCGGCTTACTCATGCAACTGTTTGACAATGAATTCGACTAGTTTACAACCATGCTAGAGGCTCATATTCATGAGCAGCAATCCGTGACACGTGACGCGGCGACTGTCGCGCCGATATAGTCATGAATATGAGCCTCTAGCATGGCTTGAAAATAGTCGAGTACCTCGTCAAACAGTTACGTAAGTAAGCCGAAAACATAATAATTAAGACACTGTTAGTTATGCCTGCTAGTTTTGCTGCTAGATTTACCCCGGATACGTCCTTTGCTAAACACAAGGCTTAACCTTTAGAGCGGATTTATCGTAATGCTGTTTTTATTAAGTCAAATCATCGAATGACTTCTCCCGCCTGAGTGAGGCGGGAGGGAATGTCAGACTCTTACTGACTAAAAACCCTAAAAACCACCCCGTTCCTTCTCCTGCACTTCGAGCCGGAGCCCCGGCAACCCGTTAAGTCCTCCGCGGCTCATCTTAACACTTGGCTGTTTGTTAGGGGATCGTAATCAGTACACCGAAAGGACCAACTCTTATTTGAGTGGAAAACATGATTGAATGACTTCTCACGCCCTGGGTAAGGCAAGCCCGTGAGAGATAGTGTCAAATTCTTACTGACTAACCTCTATTCCTACTTCTGTTTCCAGCTGGAACCCCGGTAACCTGCAAGGTCGTCTACAACCCCGGTATCGAAAGGACCGACTGACATCGTCTCTCGGTAGACATTGCATTGTAGTTTTTAGAAGGTTCAGGTTCATCAGAGAGCGCTGCTGCCTGGTGTCTGTCAAATGTTTAGTCCCTTAGTCAGTAGTCTGGTATACGACACCCGCGGACGGAGTAGGGCTTTTTTTTGAGGTGTGTAAACCATCCAATGACTTCTCCCGCCCGAGTGAGGCGAGAGGGAGTTCCTACACCTGCACTTCGAGCCGGAGCCCCGGCAACCCGTTAAGACTTCCGCGGCTCCGTATCGGCATCAGCTTTGTTGGGCCCCGTCTGTGGTGGTCTGATGGCTTGCGACGCGCCATACGCTCGGGCCTGTTTCTGGTCGGACGGGGAGCCACCCATGCTCGCCGTCCTCCGGCCCGCGCTTACGGTAGCCGGAGATCGTCCCGCGATCCCCTACGCCCGGTGTGTCCTTCGCGAGGGCTGGGTTGCGAGGAGGCAGCGCTACGCTGCCTCACGCGTCCCGCCTCCTCCTTAGCTAATATGACTGCTTTGCAGCAGAAGGAGACGGCATCCCAGTCCCCCTCGCTCAGTACCATGGTCGGACGGAGTAGGGCTGGTAAAAAATAAGTATTACCTTTTCTTTATTTTTTTGTAGCTTCGTTGGCGGTGGCGAATTGACTTGTCGCTTGGCATTCGAAGATGTTGATTGGAAACCTTGACCGTCTGTGAAAAAAAGTAAAATTCATATTTTTAACATAACAATTTAACTTTTATAGGGGTAGACAGGGGTCCACAATATACAATGTAACCAATGTAACCAGTTATGTTATGAGTCCCATGTAATACGGACTGATTGAATTACCAGTAAACCCTTTATCCGATTCTCAAATCGAATTCAAAGTTTATATTAAATGAGTTTTTTTTTTTAAAGAACAGCTAATAACTATAAGGAGTGGAATAGGGTAGATGCCTAATTTTTATTTTAATGTCCGTCTGGTAGATTATTTTAAATCATTAGACACGTAATTTTTATTTTCTTACAGAAACGAATACTTTCGACGATATATTGATTTGAAATGTCGCGTGACGTCACTTCTATGTACATTTTATACGTAGAAATGACGTTTTAGCCCCCCACTCCTAAACTTTGATTCGTTTTATCTAACCTAACCTAACCTAACTTACGGACTGATTAGATTTATAATTTTCATACCCTGTCATCATCCTGGGTGTCTTCAAGTCCCGAGTAAATAGGTTGCTTATGTAGACGTACGTGCTCCATTTAGAGCTTTTCTCAGTACATTCACGTGAGTAACCCGCGATTTTTAGTTAATTTAGTAGTCAATGTCGTTAAAAAGTATGAAATTAATTATAAAGTACCTAGTTAAATGTTAAAAAATAACCACTTGAATGGTAGTTGACCATGTACTTTTCCGGTTGAAATAAAGTAACTGTGATTTGGAGGTCAAAATCATAAATAAAATGCGAAATTAAAAAGTAAAGGTTTTTTAATATTTTTTTTATTCCTAGTACCAGGCCTTTTAGTCTCTGACATGGTGATAAGGGCAGAATGTCTCACTTTTTTTTTATTGTTTATTCACTTATAGATACATGAATTTAACTTATTACTAAGCATCGCCAAACTGTTAAGCAGTATGTTGGCGAAATCTTATTTCCTCTTATTAATATAATAATTTCCTATTATTATTAATATAATAATTTATGAGTTCGTGTGTATGTTTGTTACTCAATCATGCCAAAATGGCTGAAGGGATTGTAATGAAATTTGGAATAACGGCAGATTATGGTGTGGAATAACACATAGGCTACTTTTTATCCCACAGAAACGCGGGCGAAACCGCGGGCAGAAGCTAGTACAATATAACAACCAATTTTCTAGTGAGGGTGAGTCTATTGCTATACATCGGGCTTTTAGATCCCACACGCTATTACTGAAGAATTTCCAAAATACCCGAAAAATCTCCAATAACACTGATGACGATGATGATGATGCGGCCTACCTCTACAATGGAGCACGTCTACATAAGCAACCTATTCACTAGGGCCTTGAATACACCCAGGTTATACCCTTCAGGGTACATAGAATCTGTCAAAGTCAAAGCATTTATTTCAATTAAACCGTAACTTTGTACTTTTGAAACGTCAACAAATACAAAATAAATAATAGTCTGTCAGTCAGTCCGTCAGTGAAGCTAGGTGAAGCTAGGTGCTCATTCCAAAATGTAGATTCGAATGGAGAAGAACGAGCAAGAAACTCCATTCGTTACTCTTTTTAAAAAGTATGTTCTACAATGTCTCTGATACGTATTCCAATGCTGTACGTATATGTGAGAACAATGCAAAGACACGCTTGACGCATTATAGCTACTAATTACAAACCTTTAGCGTAAAACCCACAGATATATTAAAGAAGAAGAAATTTTTTAATATTTCTATGGTAAAACCCGTGGCAAGGAATTCCACTCCTAGATCCAAATAAGGTTATAAAAGTAACTTACTTAGAGCCTGTGTATTTGTTTGAGGTCCCAACTCAAACATGACTTGGAAGTCAGCATGGTTGCCAAATGCGAAGCCGAAACCAACACGAGAGTCCGTCCCTGAAATAATATCAAAATTGATTTTTAACACGTCTCTTATAAGTCAACCTGTATAACGAAATATTGTCGGAATACTGATACGCTACTCAATTTTAAGTCGTGCTTAAGTATAGTTCTATCTCTACATATTCTTTGTAAAATAACAGAGATGGCACGATATTTCTTCTTCTTATTTATTTATTTATTTATTTATCATTTCATGTACCCACACCATACAGACAATATTATAAGACACAACACATTATAGGTAAGCATGAGGTACATAGGTACTGCATATCCCTTAAGGGATTTCTTCCTGCAGACCTGCGACAGGAAAAGGAATATAAACATAAGACATAAGACACAGTGTAAATACATGCAACGAATACAAAACAAAATAAAATTAATGAAAGAACTTAAAACTAGAATGACCGTAGTATAAGAATAAAATATAAACTTAAGCAAATTATAACAAACATAATAAATAAAATAATTAGAAATATTTAAATATGATTACATAAAAATATATATATATGTATATTGTATGTATACATAGATAAATATATACATAAATAAAGCTGTACTTCAGGACGAAAGATAATAATCCCTGACAAGTCGTTTGAAAATGGAGATGGATTTGGCGTCGCGAATGCTAGGCGGCAGCGAATTCCACAGTCTCACCGCATGAACCGTGAAGGAGTAGGAATAGAAATCGGTTTTATGTTGAACGATTTCAAGAAGAGACTTAAGGTGGGATCTAGATAGGGCTTCAGGAGGACGAGCCAAGGAAAAGCGGTCACGGAGATATATAGGATAGGCAGGGTTGTTAAGGACATTATAAAGGAGACATAAAATGCGAGTGTTCCGGCGAAGTCGGATTGGGAGCCACTTGAGCTTACTGCGATATACTGAGACATGATCGTACTTCTTAAGATCGAAGACAAAGCGAATACAAACGTTTTGCAGCCGCTCAAGCTTGTTTAGTAGCTCCTCAGTGACGTCCAAATAGCAAGCATCTGCGTAGTCGAGTAAAGGCTGAATTAAGGATTGTACGAGGAGAATTTTAGTTTTAAATGGCAAGAAGGACCGGAGACGCTTCAGCGAGTGAAAGGAGAAATGGACTCTTCGACTGACCTCATTTACCTGTGCACCCCATAGAAGATTGGAGTCGAAGATTACCCCCAAATTCTTGGCAGTGTCAGTGAAAGGGATCACTGTGCCATTTAGGCGCACGGGCTCAAGAGTAGAGATGTCCAGAGCGCTGCGGAAGTATCGACTACCGATGATTATGGCCTGAGACTTAAGAGGATTGACTTGGAGACCAAAGGACTTGGCCCACTTATCAATCCCGTCCAAGTCGCGGTTTACAGCATCGATAGCGCGACCAACTTCTGATAGTTTGAAGTGGCGGTAAAGCTGCAGGTCGTCTGCGTAGAGGTGAAAATTAGAGGAGATTACCTTGGCAACGGTATTTATAAACATGGAGAACAGAACAGGAGAAAGGACGCCACCCTGAGGCACGCCAGCAACGAGGTCACACCAGTCGGAAAAAGCTTCCTCCAGGCGTACACGCTGCCGACGACCCCGAAGATATGATTCAAACCAGTTCAAAGAAGAGGACGAGAAGTTGTTGGCCTTCAGAACACCTAAGAGGATATCAAAATCCACGGAGTTGAAGGCCGAACTGAAGTCCAGTAACACAAGAATAGTTAGTGACTTGTTGTCCATGGCCCAACGAATGTCGTCAGTCACTTTGAGCAGAGCTGTAACGGTACTGTGACCAGGGCGGAAACCAGACTGAAATGGAGAAATTAGGTTATTGGAAGATAAGTAGGAAGTAAGCTGCTTATGAACAAGATGTTCCATAACTTTGGAGAGGAAAGGAAGTATGGAAATAGCCTGTATTGGGAAGGTGAGCAAGGGTTGGAAGATTTAGGTAAAGGAATAATATGGGCCATCTTCCAGGCAAGGGGAAGGAACAAGAGAATAAGGAGAAATTAAAAATGTGAGTAAGGATAGGGATAATGAGATTAAGAATGGGGAGAAACATGCGGGAGCATAGATTGTCATTCCCCACTGCAGATGACTTAACGGCGAGCATTGATCTTTTGACATCTTCTTCGGTAACACTGCGGAGCTCAAAAGGAGAAGAAGGGAGAAATGGTAAACAGGAAAGATCGTAGAGAGTCTTAGATTTTGTGGAAATATCGAGAGTAACCGGGGGAAGCGAGAAGTGGAAGTTCAGAGAAGTGAGGTCCAAGTCACTACATGCGGCAGTAGGTGACTTTCCGATGCCCACAGAACGCAGAAACTTCCATGCATCACCAGAAGAACGATTGACCAGGTTTGTGGCTTCTTTCTTTCTTTCTTTTTTAAAAAACGTTGCCCCACACTAGGATTTTCTCCTGTGTCGTGGGTGCGTTTACACTCATACAAGTTCACATACACATGACACCCAGACCCGAAACAACAATTTGTGGATCACACAAAGTGTTGTCCCGTGCGAGAATCGAACCCGCGACACGTTGCACGGCAGCCGGTTGCCCAGCCACCGCACCAACCGTGCAGTCGAATTAAAATTTGAGCACGACTTAAACTGTCAAACACCAAGCGGTCACCGGTGACCGCGACCTATTGTTCTTTAATTGTGTCTATAAAACCGGTACTCGACGAGTTAAAATTGAGTAACGTTTCAGTATTCCGGCGTATGTAACAAAATTTAAGAATCTGAATTACACACACTTCTAATTGTTGTATTATCATAAAACTTGACAATAGGGTAGTTTCCCAAATTCTATTTTAATGTCCGTCTGGTAGATTAATTTAAAACTTTAGACACGTATTTTTTCTTTTCTCACAAAAATAAATACTTTCAACGATATATTAATTTGAAATATCGTGTAACGTCACAGCGTGCCACATTTTGCAGCACGTTATGACGTAACAACCTCCCACTCCTAAATTTAGCGCCATTTTATCTAAGTATTGCAATTTAATACGAGAAATTAAAAAAATACGTGTCTAATATTTTTTTATTATCTAACGGACTAATTAGATTGTTAATTTTGATACCCTGGGAACTACGCAATTGTATGTAGATTATATGACAATACAATATTATGGTACCATCGAGCTGGTTTGATGATGGAATTGGAAGGTGGCTGATGAAACCTTGGGTAGCTCACAAGTAAACATAGGTTTATTTTGGCTAATTTGGATTCAATAAATATTTATCTTATGATGACGAGGTCAATAAGATTCAAAGCATAATTTATATAGGAATAAATAAAGCAATCGGCATCGCTCATGGACAACAGAGAAGCCAGAAATATATTGCCGGCCTTTTAAAAAGGAATATATTTTATTTATACCACGACAGTGGCAATAAAGCACACGGCCCACCTGATGGTAAACGAGCAGACGGATCACCTGATGGTAAGCAATCGGCGGCGCCGCCCAAGGACAACCGAAACACTAAGGCGATTCGGGAGACTGTGGGGTAATTGAGCCTCCGGTAACCTCACTCACACGACGAAACACAACGCAAGCGTTGCTTCACGTCGCCGAGCCGGCCCATTCGTGCCGAAGCATGGCTCTCCCACACTTAGATTATCATAATATTGATTTTGAATCTTACCTTTTTTAATAGGCGGTATATTTGAGTACGCCACTGAAAGTAAAGATGGCAGCTCTTCAGGAATAATCACTGAAGCGAATGACTGGGATACTGGAAAATAAATATTGCTATTAGAATAAAAACTATATTTACATAACAAACACACAATCACAAGGCAATCTTTCATAATCCTACTAATCATATCGAAATGGCTGAAAGAATGGTAATGAAATTTGGAACAGGGGTGTATTATGTTCTGAAATTACATATAGGCTACCTTTAATTCCACAGAAAGGCGGGTGAAACCGCTGGCAGATGCTAGATAAATCAGTATGATGCTAAGGAAAAGAATAGTAAGAGCCGACTAAGGGACTACACAATTGACAGAGACCGGGTACCTACGCTCTCTGATAAAACTGTACCTTTTACACTGCGATCTCCAACCCACCTGCCCACGGAGATTATGGCAAACCCCTCTTATGTAGAGGATGCTTATGTCCAACTGTAACGCGCTGTTGATGATGAGTATAGTGAACTCATTTAATTCTGTGACTCGCCTAATAATTCGGTTTAGTAAATTTGGTGGAACTTATAGGTTTCTAGAAAAAAATCTGATTATTTGTGCTAATATTCCTCATAAAACACTGATTAAAACTCATGCGGAGACTGAATTCAATTAATTAATAATTTATTGGTATTTGAGTAATACTCAAATGCCTTTGTCACGAAGTTAGATGAGTTCACCCTAATATATTTCTATTGTGTCTCAATTACGCCGGCATTAAAAAGGCTAATAAAATATCGGCTGTACTCAAGAGTTAGTAAATCAGAGCCGTATTATCCCTAAGGCGCTCTAGACAAGTGCCGGGCGCCAGGTTACAGAGGGCGCCACGAGACACGCGGGGACTACTGTCCATAGAGTGACGGTGGCGGCAAGAAAAATTAGGGGCGCCAATGAGGTGCTTAATAATATCGTGGTAGCCCAGAGGTTTAAGACGCCTGCGTCTCATTAGGTCTCATGCGGAACCTACCAACGGCAAGTACCAATGTGAATTTATCCGAGTTATACGTAGTTCCTAAGATTATTTAGACACCACTGACAAACGGTGAAGGAAACATCGTGAGGAAAGCTGGGCTTATAATTTCTAATTATAAGTTTGTAATCGCTAACCAGCATTGCGCATTCGCAAGTATGGTGATTAATGCTTCAAACGTTATCCGTGTGAGAACAGGCCTTTGGTCAGCAGTGGACGCTTATAGGCTGTTGATGTGTGTGTGTGTGTGGGTGTGTGTGTATGATGTGCTTGTCCAGGGCGCTCTTTAGGTTAGTTCGCCTCTGTATTTAATGATTACGTAAAACAGTCTTTAGTCATTGTTTTCGGGACCACAATCGCCATTAAAGAATAGTTTCAAATAATATTTTAATGTCTCTGAGCACAGCAATTACTTGTTGTACTAAATAGGTGCTTAGCTAAAGATCTCGTAAATTAACCCCTCCAGCGTCCTTATGAGCAATCGGTGAATCATAAGAAAAAATGCTCCATGCTGCTTTCTCTTTTATAAAATCTATTATTCATGTTTTGTTTTTATTTTGACTGTATTTGTTTTATTTCTATTGTAATGATCCTGGTTTTCGTGTGCTAATGGCCAAATAAATGCATTTTCTTGCATGCAGAAGGATAAGGAAATGCATAAGGAACGCTGACGCTCGACGGGTTAAGTGGTAGGTAATAATTGCACCTGATCAGCAATGGATATCAAATTAGGTTTCCGGATCATAAATGTGGAGAAAGAGTCGATGGCTTCGGACACCATGGTCTTTCTTGCTGCAGAAGGTCAGGCTGCATAGCTCGCTATGCCAGCATCAACGACATCATTCGTCGTCAACTAACTAGAAGTATGAATACTTAACTAAAAACTGAAATATTATGAGGCCAGTAATGGCGACGTTTTTAAAGAATGGTAAAATTTTACATGGAAGTCATAATTCACCTGGAAAATGCAACATTACATTTAATTTGTACACCCCTGTTTACCCCACTGGGGACATAAGGCGTGATATAAGTAATTATACCCTTTTTACCCACCACTCCTAAATTTAAAGGCACCTCTAAACTAAAATAGGTGACACTTAACGTCAATTTTATTTTCATCAACCTACACGTGCCACTTAACAGTAAAAGTAAAGGCTTAGTTTAGTGCTACCTGGCACTAAGGGACTCTTACTTAAGTGACAGTTTAGGGGTTTATATGTTTATCACCCCATGTTTGACTGTTAGAGAATGCCATCCGGCATTAAGTCCACCATCGTATATACTTCTGTATAAAAGTGTAAATAAATAAATTAAACCTTGACCCATCATTCTCAGACGTTAATAAGTGACAAAACACATTCTTACCTATACATCGGTCGTGAGATTGCAACCAGTGACACACATACATACAAGGTTAGGTTAGGTAATGTATTCAAAGCTGGTGAGAATAAATCACAGACTTATGTATCTTATTCAAATACCGCCGCGCGATTTCACCCGCTCTGCTCGGCTCCTTATAGTCTTAGCGTGATGTTTTATATCCTATAGCCTTCCTCGATAAATGCACTATCCATCCCGATCATGTATATCCATGTACTAGCTACTTCCGCGCGGTTTCACACGCTCTGCTCAGCTCCTATTTGTCGTAGCGTGATGTTTCATGCCCTATAGCCTTCCTCGATAAATGCACTATTCAACACAAAAATAATTATTCAAATCGGACTAGTAATTTCGGAGATTAGCACGATCAAAGTAACAAACCCGGAACACCAAAAAAGTTAAAAATGCATTGCCGGGATTTTGGGAATTCTGAGGATAGAGGGGGAAGGGGGAATGGGCTGGGCAGCAGTGCTGAAGCATGGCCTTTGGCTCTCCCTTGAGTAGTTATTCTTACACCTGATTCATATAAAGTCAACTAACACTTAGGCTCTAAACAAGTGGTTCCCAACCGGTGGTCCGCAGAAGTCAAAAAATTAAAAAAAAACAAATAAGATCTATACAATAAATTGATAGCTCGAACCTCAAATTAAACTCAAACAAAAATCAAAGGAGAAAATAAAGAGGTTCAATTAATTTCAAAAATCTAATTCACTATTTTTGTCGCGGGGAACCTAACGGGTAACCGGGGCTCCGGCTCGACGTGCAGGAGAAGGAACGGGGTGGTTTTTAGTCAGTAAGAGTCTCACACTCCGTCCCGCCTCATCCAGGCGGGAGCAGTCATTCGATGATTCCCCCCCCCCCCCCCCCCCCTTAACTCGTTGAGTACCGTCAAGACACAATTAAAGAACAATAGGTTGCGGTCACAGGGTTCCTCGCGGTGTTTGACAGTTTAAAAAAAGTCACTATTTTTATGGGTACATGATAATAAGATTTTAGTATAGGACCACATGCAAACACATGAAAAAAGATTGATTTATTTATTACACACACAAGTTAACGATGGAGCACGTCGTCCTATGCAACCTATTCACTCGGGCCTTGAAGACACCCAGGTTTATACCCTTCAGGAAATACAGAGTCTGGCAAAGAATTCCACTCCTTAGCAGTACGCACAAGGAAGTTTCATTTGTTTTTTGTGGGATAAGCCGGTAAATTTATAAAGATAGATAGATACTCAAAAGGGAAAAATATCTCATAAATGATTGACCCGGGAATCGAACTCAGCAGTCGTAGTTACGACCAATCAACGAGGTAGTATTACAAGTCTTTCGTGCTCTTACGTGACCTACGATCATGTATTCGAACCTTAAACTTTACTGCCTATTGTGTAACGAACTATTAGGTAACAAAAATACAAATAAATTATAACTTTCTTATATCTATGAATTTAATTTAAAACAATATTAATCATACGTTTCTATAAAAGTTTACACATTATTCGTAACAAACGATGTCGCAATATAATGCCTTATAATATAATGCCACAAAACTTTATTTGTATAATCAAAACTTACCTAAAGAAAGTAGGAAGAAACACACACACCGTTCCATAATCATTTTTGTTAATTTCTTTTAATTTTAACACACAACACTTGGATAGAAATCAAGAAATAAACACGAAAATATCAAAATAAAAACATTTCAATGACTACCACTGCCCGCCATTTTTTTAAACTCGTGTATAAAAAAATAAAAACGTCAACCACGGAGCGGTTTTGCCGCCAAACTAAAATACGAACAAGGAACGAATTTCAACTTTCACTGCCGTAAAAACGTCATAAGTACACGTCATTAGCATTCGAATTACGACTCTACTATTACGTAATAAAGTGTAGATTTTTTTGCAATTAGTCAAGTTTCTTGTGGTCTTTTGTAATTGCTAGGCGTCCCATGTGTTTGTCATTTCATTTCATAACTTTGGAATTAAGTACTCAAGGACTTTTGATTTAAATACTACTTTCTCCCATTGATTTAGAGTCTATATTTGAGTGATTAATAAACTCGTATTCCGAATGTGTGAGTTCCCATTCACTTCTTAGATTCCCTTACCCTTGAGACCTAGGTGGGGTAATTAATTCAGTCAATAATGTACCTTACTGCTCGATGTTGAAGGTAGAATTTCGATTTATAGGAAATTGCACTTAGAACTTTATGTAGTAATCGGTTCATTACTTTCATATTCCGTGAAAACATTGAGTAATAGTGTGTGGAGAGATTGCAGATTTTTTTTATCGATATCGGTAAAAATATTGTTAAATAAATACAGTAAAGTGCCTACTTAAATTAAAATGATGAATTGCATGCACTTTTTTCATTGGAGATTATTTCGTAAGAGAAAGTTGAACTTAAAAATTCGTTAATTTAGAAATCACATCATTACATAATTACATTCATAATCATTTGACTGCCTCGTTGGCCCAGTGGTTAACAAAACGACTCTGAAACAATTAAGAACTGGGTTTACTTTTCTATATGTGTCTTAAACTAAGTATGGGTTCAGCGATATAGAAGTGAAAGCAAAACTAACAAGCAAATGAAATGAATTCGTTGTTATTAATTATATCACTTACCTCGGCTTCGCTCGCGTCACAAAAGGATAAAAAGTAGCCTATGTGACATATATCAATACACACAGCGCCATCTATACCAATACTTTTGTTTTACTTCGAGAATATCAAATTTTTCCGGGATAAAAAGTACCGTATTATTTAATCCAGACTTCTAACTTTACGTCTGCAAAAATTCAAAGCAATCGGTTTAGTAGTTACGGCGTGAAGGTGGAACGACAAACAAACAAACTCACTTTCCGATTTATAATATTAAATATATATATAGTAAACATAGTAATAGTAAGGAAGTAAGGATATCACTTAATTTTGATTTATAAGGAATGCACAGTTGCTGCAGTAACTGGGTGACAATAGGCGCTCAACATATTTTATTTTGGAGTTCAATTATCGGACAAAGTAATGATTCCTCTGGCTAAATTAATATTTCGATTTTATCATTACTTGTCTAAGGCTTTGGTGATGATTAACCTCCGTGGTTCAGCGATTTGTCAGGATCAGCGGGCATTGGACTTATGGAGGAAATGTCAGACGCAGCCGCTTCATGAACAATAATATTGATACAGGAGCTAGGCGACACAGTACCTACAACCTAGTTGGACCAAGGCCAGGAGAAAGGATTTATAAAATTAACGTAATGAACTTGGGTTACCCACGATAATTTTGCTGGCTATTTATCGACATTAGTGGTTTCCTTCACTATTCTAAAAGTTTTCCTATACCTAGCGGAAGAAAGTCCATATTTTTGCATAGCATTTAATGTAGGTATATAAAATGTATAATATTTTTACATAATAATATTAATATTAGCTCATGACGGTAACTAATTACCTACGTGTGGCGCCTGGACTGTTAACCTCGCTACATCCTTGTTGACTGGACATCTACACTACATGAGCTGCTGTTTACATGTGAACATTAGCTCATGACGATACCTAAGTACGTGTGTCGCCTGGACAGTCAACCTCGCTACATCCTTGTTGACTGGACATCTATACTACATGAGCTGCTGTTTACATGTGAACATTAGTTCATGACGATACCTAAGTACGTGTGTCGCCTGGACAGTCAACCTCGATACATCCTTGTTGACTGGACTTCTACACTACATGAGCTGCTGTTTACATGTGAACATTAGCTCATGACGATACCTAAGTACGTATGTCGCCTGGACAGTTAACCTCGCTACATCCTTGTTGACTGGACATCTACGCTACATGAAATGCTGTTTACATGTGAACATTAGCTCATGACGATACCTAAGTACGTGTGTCGCCTGGACAGTCAACCTCGCTACATCCTTGTTGACTGGACATCTACACTACATGAGCTGCTGTTTACATGTGAATATTAGCTCATGACGTATGTCGTCTGGACAGTCGCCTCGCTCCATCCAACTGTTAAGTGATTCCATTTTGTTCATCAACGCCATCTATAATTCTGATCTTGAACTACAACGACGAACTTTATTGATCATCATTGGTGAATGGTGACAGTCATTCGTCACTATGTCGTAACTTGCTCAATAGATGTCGTTACGTTCACGGACATATTTTTTGTATTTCTTTTTGTTGATCAAGCCAGGTATTTTTTGCAAGCTTACTACGTGTTAACATTAATTATTTAACACTTTATTTATACAAGTATTGCGATATCGGCAACAACAAAGCTTATGGTTATCACGGGTTGTACTAATCGTAAGCGGACACCACTAGCAATACTAGAATAATCACGAGTGTGTAGCTAACCATGTAGGAAATCGCGGAGAACCTAACGGGTAACCGGACCTCTGGCTCGACGTGCAGGAGAAGGAACGGGGTGGTTTTTAGTCAGTAAGAGTCTGACACTCCCTCCCGCCTCACCCAGGCGGGAGCAGTCATTCGATGATTTTCCCCCCTTAAAAAAAAACATGTGGGAAACATTAAAACCATTAATTCAACGGCTTTTTTTTAAATGTCATGAAAATTATGACGCACTTATCAAATATGTAAAAATGGTTTGGCATCCGGAACTCTCGTTTACCAGACACCAGGCAAACATAGCCTTGTGAAAATGTTTTAAGTGTGTGAGAGCCAAGCTTCGGAATGAGTTGATTGGCTTGACCGTACACACACAGCCACACAGATATAACCAGCGTGAAAAAAGGTTTGTGTAGTGTTTATTATAAGCCCAATCTTCTCTCCCATCTCCGAATCCCCTAATCCTCAAATTTCGAACTGCCAAGAGGCTAGTGTGCTTGTATTTATTGCTTACTAGCTTTTACCCGCGGCTTCGCTCGCGTCACAAAAGGATAAAAAGCCAATGTGACATATACCAAATAGAGTTGCCACGAATAGTGATTTGGCCGAATACCAAATACCGAATATTCGGCAATGCTGTCGGCCGAAGCGCCGAATATTCGGCGGCCGAATATTCGGTACTAAGTACATGTTAGTCGAGCGGGTAAACACTAATACGACAGGTTGCGACCTGTCTTCAACGTGTGCGGACAGTGTGCGGTACTTCAAAACAAGTTTCCTAGATTTTGTTCAAGCAGAAACTAAGTTGTAATGATGAGTCTAGTACTACTGATGACGATTCTTCTCCATGTCGTAAGAAAAGAAACTTGAACGAAAATGATAAGACATTTGAAATACACGACAGTTTCTGGAACGGCTTTGAGGAAGTCGCTAAAGATAATATGCGAAATAGTAATGACGAGGAGAACCTGGAGAAGAATACTCTGGCAAATGAGATAGATTTTTATTTGAAATCATATTGCCTACATCGGAAAGCTGATCCTTACAAGTGGTGGTCAGCAAATGAAAAACAATACCTAAACCTCTCGAAATTTGCTAAAGTTTATCTTTCTTTCTTCTCCCGGGCGTAGCGTGTATAGTGAGAGATTATTTTCTGAAGCTGGTACCATTTACGTCGAAAAGCGTAATCGTTTGCTACCGTCAAATGCTGAAAAGTTTGTTTTTATCCATCACAACTTACCATTGATTAATTTTACTTATTAAAATATTGTAGTTTGATAATAAATACACATCTTGATTAATATGATGTGTCTTTTTTTCCATGATTTAGTATTCGGTATTCGGCCGAATAATAGGTACTATTCGGCCGAATACCGAATACCAAACAAAGTGGCCGAATAGGCCGAACACCGAATAGTAGCCGAATATTCGTGGCATGTCTAATACTTTTGTTTTCCCTCGGGAATATCAAATTTTTCCGGAATAAAAAGTAGACTATTATTTAATCTGGACTTCTAACTTTACGTCTGCAAAAATTCAAAGCAATCGGTTTAGTAGTTACGGCGTGAAAGCGGAACAAACAAACTCACTTTCCGATTTATAATATTAGTAAGGATTGCTTACCATCATAGAAATATACAGAGCGAATATGAATGGGGCCGTCGGTAGAGGGCGCCCTAGACGGATATATACTGACCAGATTGGCGATATATGTATTAAAGAAGAGCCAAATTAAAAGTACCCTTAACCGAAGAGCATGCATGAAAAGATTGATGACCGTTGATGAAGCGAAAGAGGTATGTAGGAATCGTAGTAATTGGCGTTCCATTACCATTTTTTTTTATAAATTTTCAGTAGAAGCATGGAGTCTGGAATTGTGCCCGGTACCCGGTATATGGCATTAGGCTCACCCCCTATAACATGGGACTCATAACATAAATAGTGAAAAGTGGGTGTTACATTGTACAGCGGCATAATGTGCACCTCGGCATGGCAAAGGTAAAATAATAAAAGTGTCTTGCATATAAATAGTAACTGTTAAACGACAATACATCGGTATTTTCCTTAGATTAAACTTAAGCGAATAAATAATTTAATTTCAATGGAAAGGTCAGCCAATAACGCGCGAGTGAATACTTAATATAGATCTAAATTGTAAATATATTACGTTTAATTAAGTACAAAGTTCAAGTAACAGGTACTATATACGAATATCTTTCAATTCTATACTTTCCTATTTAAATTCTAAACTAACAAGCATCTGCCAGCGCAGCGGTTTCGCCCGCATTCCTAAAAGTGGCCTATGTATTCCTATCTACACCTGTTCCAAAATGTTGGTTAGATGATTACCCCGGGTATACCCTTACATGGGTCCCATTGGTCCCATGTAAGGGTGAATCTATTGCCATATACCGG